AGCCTTTAAGTCCCCAGACGCTATATCTTTTGATAGCTGGGTACCATCAGCTTTCTTCACCACATTTGCTTGTACATCCATTTTGTCTTTAGTGATCATGTCATTCCTGACAATTTTTGTACTTTAGTGAATAAGGTCCACAATCCAGGATAAAGTGTAGGTATTTTCTTTCGAAGCCCTGTGTCCACCACCCCCTACCCCCACCCCCACCCCCGCCTCCCAACACACACCTTGGGAAACACTGGATAGGTAAACCAGTTGCCAATGTCTCTGCTGACTTATGGCAACCTCATGTGCTTCAGGTAAGGACTGTGGTTGTGATTGTGACTTTTTGGAAACTGATCACCAGGTCTTTCTTCTGAGTATCCACCTTTGGATAGTAGTCCAGCAGTGTGCACCATTCAGAAATTCTATATTCTAGTTCAAAACTCACTGCCTATGAACTGATTCTGACTCATAGTGACCCTGTCAGACAGAGTAGAACTGCCTCTTTTGGGTTTCTGAGACTTTACATCTTTGCTGGAATGGGTCAATTCATCTTTCTCCTATGAAGCAGCTGGTGGGTTCGAACCACTGACCTTGTGCTTAGCAGTACAATTCACCCAGAACTCTTTATATGCTAGTAACTGCCTTCAAATTAAAGATGCTCACTTACTGGCTTCTGCATATTAGGGACTGTATGTAAACGCTTTACATGGACCATCTGATAACCTTCTCACCTTCAGGTGGTAGGTGGCAGTAATGTTTCATATTTCCATATGAAGAACTTGATGCTCAGAGAGGGTGTGTAACTTGCCCAGATCGCCTGGTAAGAGCTGGAGTCAAGGTTGGAAGTTGACATGAACTGTTTATTTAGTGTTACTTGATAATTTGTGACTTTGCTCTTTTGGATTGTTTTGCAGATTGGGAGGAAACCCCTTGCTCTCAAAGTACAGTGTGTGGCCCCGCTAACACACTTGTCCTTGGATGCCCAGAGCCAGACTTAGCAGGCAACACACTCTCTTAGTAGGCACATTTCGCCCAGCCCCCACCATTTTTTGACCCTGTTTTATTATTCTGTTTTTGAGAATAAGTATGGCGAGGTGTAGACAAATTCTAGTTTCTCCAGTATAATTTCGTCACACTGATTTCATTCTTTGAGTTGGATGGCCGTCCTCACCTTCCCCTACTGAGGTGTCCACCCTCATGAACACAAGTCCAGCCCAGCGCTCCTGTCTGATCTGTCTAGCTGCGGCTGTCAGGTTGATCCCATAGAGATCGTTCTTACGAGAGCCTAATGCTCAAGGCAGAACTTTCACTTCCTGGCTAAGCTAAATCCGTGTTTGGTTTTAGATAACTTGAGGTCTTTTGGGTTTAAGCTTTAAAAATTATAAACCTCAGGGCAATAGTTTCAAGGGTTCAGCCAGCTTCGATGGCTCCAAAATGTCTAGAGTCCATGAGAATTTGAAATTCTGGAACAGCAAATATTTAATCAGAACAAACGCTCCCTGTTAACAGTCCTGCCAACTTGTTCAACTTGGAGGGTTTCTTCCCTCCCTAAATATATTCACCACTTACATTCACCACTTACTGAGGGCTCGGTGTGCCCAGTCACCTGCAGAGCATAAAGACTGTCTTGGCGAGTAGTTGGAACAGGGGTTGTTTGCCTACTTTCATTTTGGATGAACATGCAGTGCCACATCTCACCCTTTGATGACTTAGAGGCTCAGGGCACATTTAAGTTGGGCCTTGGAAACCCACAGGGGAGTTTCACCTTGCCCTGTAGGGTTGCTACCAATCAGAGTGGACTGGATGGCAGTGAGGTGGGGTTTGGTTTTGTTTGCGGGGAGGGGGGGCGAGTACACAGAAGGAGCCACCACCACTTCTTGGGAGAAAGGTAAGACTGTCTGCCCTAAATAGGGTCAATGGCAGTGGGTTTGGGGGTAAACAAGGGAGGGGACAGAAACGCCTGCCTTGCTAAGTACTACTGTCAAATACAGTAACATCTCTTTATGCTGAGCTCTGAATATTAATATTCTCTTGAAAATGGAGCTTAGGGGGAGAGGGAGGGAACCAGCAGTGGGCTGGCGTGAGGAGTTGGACAAGATGAACGATGAGCTGCTGTCTGAGAAAAGGGCTCACAGGCATATTTTGTAGTGCAGCAGTCACCGGACAGAGTGGAATGGTGTGGTCAAAGATGGTTTCAGGGCAGAAGGGGGAGTTTCTCAGAGAGTGGAAGGGAGAAGGGAGGGAAGAAAGGAGTTGAATATTATAGAGCAATGAATTGCACACGTATGAAAACAGCAAGTGTGGTTTCTCCTTCATGAATAAAGCTTTAACAGATTTAAATTGATTTTCCCTCTTTACCACCAGTACCTCGCCCACAAAGCACAACTTTCGGGTGAGAGTCTCCAAAACTTTCATTTTGTCCCTCATTACTTCGCTCGCTGAAGCATTTAATCATGTGATTTTTCACTCCACTTAAAACTGCCACAAATTCAGACTCCTCGAAGAATCACTTGCATGGCTTCTCCGTCTGTGTGTGGCGAACACCTTCCTGGCTGTTGTGGTCAGCCCTCACTGCTGTTGTGTTCTGAACCAATTTCCAGAAACATTCTCATTGGGCTGCTTCTGTGCTTCCGACCAAACCCAGTAAGCCGTCAAACAAGCTCCCGATCTGTTTCTGCATTTCCACTTCTGATCTTGGCCACCTCTCTCCCCACTCCATCCCCAAAGGGAGACCCTTGTCTTGGTGGTCTCCTCATCCATAGTCCTGCTAACCCGTGTCCCCCCACAGACACTGTTTTCCCTGTGCCTGGTTGGCCTTTGCCGTCTGTCTCCAGACTGATCCTGCGGCCACAAATCTGCTCGTTCCAATGTATGCCCTATGGTCTTGCAGCCAGAAGTATAAAGGGTTAAATAGTCACTTCCTTGTGTCTGCAGAATGGTGTGCTGGATTCTTGGCCCTGGGACACAATGGACTTCCTTTAATACACTACTAAATGCCGGCTACCAAAAAACTATCATCATCTATCTGAAATTCAGATTTAACTGGCATCCTGTGTTTTACCTGGAGATCCTCCAGGTGTGGTAGTTTGCTTTATAGCCCAGTCAAACACAGCAACGCGTCTCTTTTTGTCTCCCTCTGTTCAAACAACACCAATTGTAGTGGCAGGAACCAACTATAAACAGAAGGTTTTGCTTTTAAAAAATGTTTTAAATGTAAATAGAGCTATGCTGAGTCCAGGGGGCGGGGTCTGGGGGAGAGCGCAGTTTTGGAGAAGCGTTTCAGATTTGGATGTGGACATTCGAGTGCTTTTTGCAGGAAAGCAGGATAGAGAATCCTCATTCAGGAAGACGAGCCCTAAGTCAGCTCAGCCCTTGTTCATGGGGACCTCAATGACCTCCCACCTCCGACTCGACTCGTGGTGACCCTGTAGGACAGAGGAGAACTGCTCGGTAGGGGTTCGCCGGCTGTAGACAGCCTCCACAGCCTCCTTTTCCCCACGAGGAGTGACTGCTGGGTTTGACCAACCAACCTTGAAGTCAGAAGCCTAGCGGTTAACTGATGGTGCCATGTCTAACCCGTGGTACATTTTAATAGCATAGCTTCACAGACTTGCTGTGAGAGAAATGCTCGGATGTCTTCATTATAATCACTCCAGCGTACCTTCAACATGGGGTCTCCATTTTTTCTCTCCTCAGTGCAATGCTACTTTCTTTTGGTGGATAACAAGTACATTGTGAGAAAATTTATAATGTATTTTTGAACATATTTTCAGTTCTCAAGAATGTTCAATTCTGGTGTTGCTACCCAGTTTGGTTTTGTTGAGAAGCAGCATTTTCACAGTGGGCGGAATCCTTCTATTTTGACGTTCATAGAAACATGCTACTGTTGTCCTGGGGTGAGGTCTTTAGGGCTTTTGATCACACAGGCGGTTTTCCTGAATCATTCTGGGCACCTAAGACCAAGGGGCACTTTGTGAGCACCACGTCTGTCTAGATCTGCACCGTCTGTTTGCACCACTGGATTTTGACTTGGCGGAGGAATGGACGGCGCACGGCTGCACGGAGGTGAGTCGGCTGTAACAGGTGACTTCTTTTGTCTCTCGCTCAGATCCCTTTCTTTGAAGAGATTTGCAAAGGCATTCAGGCTGGTGACTCCTGTGAGAAGCTGGTCGGGTACTCGGCCGTGTACAGAGTCTGTTTTGGAATGGCGTGCTTCTTCTTTTTCTTCGCCCTCCTGACCCTCAAAGTCAAGAACAGCAAAAGCTGCCGAGCTCATATTCACAATGGGTAAGTCTTGGGCCTTTGTGGGCGTTTCCTCCCTCGCCTCTATTCCGAACAGGGGGCCAGTAGCCCTGCTCTTCACGAGACTCCCCTCCCACTTCTTCCTCTGAGTAGAAATGGCCCCGCACTGATTTTCACGCAGGTGAACCTTGCACCTGTTAGCACACTGTGTCCGAAGAGCTGGAGTGGGCTTTCCTGCTACGGTAATGAGCAAGGCAGTGGAGACAAAGGGCTTTATTTCTTGTACTGAGCCCTTTCCCCGGGTCATTTCCAGTCCTGCGACGAAGTGGTGTTCTGTACACTCAGAGGCCATGCCGAGTCTGCCTAATTAAGGAAAAAGGGCATTCTCCAGCCACTTAATTACTTCCCCTCGATTTGGAGAGAACACTACCAAGGGCTGGCATCATGGGTTGACATGCTTACCTTCTAAGAGGTCTTTTGTCCTCCTTTGAATATAATTTAAATAAATTTTCTCCGCCCCTCCCTTCCAGCTTTTGGTTCTTCAAACTGCTGCTGTTGGTGGCCATGTGCTCAGGAGCCTTCTTCATTCCTGATCAGGAGTCCTTTCTGAATGGTACAAATCGATTATTTTTGGAACTTATTTGTCTTTAACCTATTTTGTAAAATTGTTCAAAGGCAAAATCCCAAGTGCTTGTGATACTTTGATTGACTGATTAGCTTATGTCTTAAAACAGTCTATGTCCCTTAACTGCCCACACTCGATCCACCCGTGTCCACCCCCTTCTCTTTCCACCCGTCCACGTCCCTTCTTTCCATCTTTGCCCACACCCCCTCTTTCGATTCACTCTGCTGGCTGAAGGATTGGAAGGATAAGTGTACTGGCCTGTAGAGAAACGGAGGCACTTACGAATCAGTCGGACAAGCCCTTTGGCATGTCTGTGTGTCTTCCCCAGCCAGGTTCAGAAGAGGCCTGGGCAAGAGCTTGTTATTTCTGAGCACAGCCCAGCAAAGGACACCCCCTCTGGGGCCACGGAACACGGAGCACTTGCCCCTCCACAGCTGTTCAGCACTGACAGGTCTGGGACCAGAACCCTCCGCTTTTGGAAACTTGCATTATGTGAAACCACATAGCCCTGAGTTATATTCCTTACTGGTAGAACCTGCCAATACTGATTTAATATAAAACCTTTCATTGTAGCAGAAACTGGAAGCCCTTTGTATGAGCTATGGAGAGTGGTGCAGGGGAAGGGCATGTGAAGGAGCTCCAAAGAACTAGGTGCGTGGCCTAAGGAGAGGTTTCTGCCAAAGACACAGGGAGCACCCCTCTGGAAGCCTCCATGCACCCTGCTTTCTTCCTGCCCTTTTTCCCACAGCTTGCTCCAGGAAGAGCATCCATTCCACCGACCCTTGACATAGCCATTGCTGTTAAAGGACTCAAACTCAGCAAAATAATGTTTGAGGGGCCTTGTGTCTGTTAATCAGAAGAAAGATGAGGCTTTCTACTCCTGTAAAGAGTGACAGTCTCCGAGATCCACGGGAGCAGTTCTACCCTGTCCTACAGGGTCCCTGTGAGCCTGCATCCATGTGAGAGCAGGGATTGAGTGAGTGAGGCTTGCTCTGTAGCCTGATTTTGTAAATGTCAGCCGATCGGAATTGTCTTGTGCATGCCTGGACCCCTCTGTATTTAAGTTCTGTGAAGATTTCTGTGAAGCATTTTGTGAATCTTTACAAGGTACTGGCTCTGCCCGATCCTGGATGGCTTTGTTCCTTCAGGAAACTCTTTTTTTTTTTTTTTTACAAAAGCTCCAATTTGCTTTTTGACAGGGCCCTGGGTTTCAGTGGTTTACCACTTTGTTCAATTCAGATGGATCCACTGTCCTAATCAAGACACTTAAAAAAATGTTCCATTTCTTAGAGACCAGCCAGGTCTCCTCATAGTCCCTTATTAGGGCCCAGCCAGTCATACGAGGTTTTATTGTATGCCTCAAGGAAGTTGTGCCCCTTTTAACACCACTGAAAAAAAGAATAATTAAACTTCAATCCTGAGGGAAACCGACTAATTCTCTTACTCATTTGTTAATTGATAATTAGCGCAGGAATCAAGGATTGATGCTTGTTTAGTTTGGGGATTTGGGAAAGCTTCCCTGGTGTATTGGCATGATGCTACGTGCATCCCATCATGAGCTACTGAGGGAATCTTATTTGTGTCCACTAGCCTGGTTACTATGTAAAATGGGACCTTTATTTTTAAAACCCTTTCAAAACCACAAGGAATATGTCTGCATTTTATGTAAACAACAAATAAACCCAGCACCTCTAAGTAGACCTCTGTTCACCACCACTAAAAGCAAACACACTGCCATGCAGTCAGCTCTGACTCAGAGTGACCCTGTTCCCGACAGAGGCACTTCATGGCTTGGAATCATGTGTAGGTGTTCCCTAGTCTGCTCAGTCATTTCCACATACTGGCAATAACCCCCATGACTTGGCTCATTCAAGGCCAGCCCCTCTCTGCCAGAGGCAAAAGTAAGATTCTGGGCACTTGCGCTCCCACTCTGGACCTCATTCCTTCCTAGGATATGGTGGTGTCCAATATAATCGGAACCTTGAGTTTGAAAAAGCTGCGTGGTCGTGGTTTTAACTTGTGGGCCTGCAGGCGTTTCATAAATGCCTGTATCTGTCAGCTGTCTTGGAGTCACGGCATGGGGGCCAGGCTTTGGATCCAGACTGCCTGTACTCACCGCCCCCCCCCTCCCCCAACCCCAACCCTACTCTTACTGGCTGTGGGACTTCACACCGCTTTGACTCGGGGCTCTCCTGTACAACACGCTTGTATTCATGTTACCCACTCCCATGACTGTGGGAGTTCCAGGTGTTACACCTGCAGTGTAACATGCCGTGGAAATTAGCAGCAGTCGTTTCCTCAGTTTTGAGGTTAACAGCTGGGTGAATCGGCTCACCTCCTCTCTGTTGGTCGCTTTCTGCAGCCTGGCGCTATGTGGGAGCCACGGGAGCCTTCATCTTCTTAGGCATCCAGCTGATGCTGATCGTGGAGTTTGCACATAAATGGAACAAGAACTGGTATGTGAACCCACTGCCTCGGAGCAGCTGCCCAGGGCACAGTGCTGAAAAGGGGCTACGCTGAGCTGCTGAACAGCCTGCTGACAACCAAAATCATGTTCTCTGATGGGCTTCCTTCGCTTGGGAACCCCACTGGTACAGTGGTTAAAGCCCTCAGGCTGGTAGATTCGTCTCCACCAGCTGCCCCAGTGGTTGTGCGCTTCAGTCAAGATTCACAGCCTGGGAAACCCTATGGGGCAGCTCGACTCTGTTCTCTGTGAATCGGAATCAACTCAGCAGCAGTGACGTGGGGTTTGAGTTGGTTGGGTTTTTTCCCCCTTCACCCCTGCCCTTTGTAACTCAAATGAAACTCACTGCCATCAAGTCAGTTCTTTTCACGCTGGGCTGCTAACCGCCAGGCCACCAGTTTGAAACCACCAGCTGCTCTGCTGGAGAAAGATGAGGCTTTCTACTCCCATAGAGAGTTACGATTTTAGAAAGTCACCATGAGCCTGCCCTTTGTGCCTCTTCTCATTGAATGCTCGCCCGTTCTATGTTCCTATCCTTTCTACCTCTGCTTCTTCTACACCCTTCCCGCCTCCTCTTTCAGTGTGTGGTCCTCCTTTTCTTAGCTGTCTTATTTGGGCTGTGAACCAGCCAATCTTGTGAGGCAACCACATTCAACCATGTAACTGCCACCTGTTGTGCCCAGCTCTGTGGTCGGGCCTCAGATTCCCCATCCACACAGGAGAAATAAACCAGCACATTACTTTCCAGCCGAAGCTTTGCTTTCTGTGAAGAATGCAAGATTGAATACCAATTTCATTCCTTTTCAACTGTCTGAGAGGGAAAGGGCCCTTACACTGCATTAGGAAGATTGGTTGTGCTACTTTAGAAAGCTATTCTGCCTTGTAAAAAGAGAGACTTTTTACGGACTTTTAAAAATAGCATTCACGTTCTAGGCTGATTGGGGAATGCCAAACTATTAATAGCCAGTTTTATTTCTTGCTGAGCCACACTGAGGGAATGACAGCTGGGCAAGCTGAGCTCAAAAACCAAGTTGATTCTCCTTGTGACCCTAGGCAGAGCACTAACGGCTCTATTGTGTTTCCAGTAAGGCTTTTGTGAGTTTAGGACATCATCCTAAAAACAAAAAGAAACTCATTAAGTCCTGGACCAGCGTGGTGAAATGCCGTGTCCAATACTGAATAACGGCTATATATTAGGTAACAATACTGTACTGATGTTATATTTCTTGAAATTCACAAATAAGAAGACTGTTCTAATTCTAAGGAGAAACACATTAGAGGTGAGGTCCTGTTAAGGGTGATAGAAAATTCAGGTTCATGATGAGGGTTAATCAACATAATGAACATTGAATGTCATTACACTGTACATATGAAGATGTTTAAAATGGCAGGTGTTTTGTTACCTATGTATTTGCCACAATAAAAAATACTTGTGACCAAAAAAAACAAAAACAAAAAGAAACTCACTGCCATTGAGTCCGTACGACTCATAGAGACCACATGGAGAAGGGTAAATCCGCTCCATGAGTTTCCAAGACTCACTCCTTACTGGAGCAGAAAGCCCATCTTTCTTCCCGGTGGTTTTGACCTACTGCCCTTTTGGGTCACAGCCCAGCTGACTGGGGTGGTTGTGGAAATGCCAGGTGGTATCTGGTGCCATTGATTTGGTTCCAACTCATAGTGGCCCCAGGTGAAGCAGAATGAAACACTGCCTGGTGTGTATATAAGATGTTTTACTCCTATGTTGGATGAAACAATATACATAGTCCAAGAAGCTGTATGTCCTGAATATACTGCTCTGCCTGGTAGTTATTTCTTTTGTTTGAGTTTTTTTTTTTTAAGATTAAATTGTAGGATGTAATTGTCAGGGTATTTAAGTTAAAAGGTGTAAATTATTTTATGATTTGATAAATATTGGATTAAGCACAACCAAGTACTTATGACCAGCTTTTTAATGAAACCCACAGAGGCAGTTACCTGTCCTACATAGCAGTGAGTTGTTTTTTTGTTTTAATAAAGATATATTTTCTTGGTGTTTGTATTTGGTGGAAGGTTACATGGCAAATTGGGTTCCCATTTGACTGTATCTACACAAATCGTTCTATGACATTGTATTACATCCCCCCCCCCCAATGAATGGGTTAACATTCATTCTCTCTAATTGCATTCAGGTTGCTCCATTTCTTCTACTCTAGTTTCCCTGCCTCCTTTTCTTACCTGATCCCTTATCTTTGCTTTAGTGTATTTGTTGGCCTTTTGATCTCATACATTTTTAAAATACTATTTTATTTATTGTTGCTGAAAATATACATATACATAGTAAAACATGCACAAGCACTTTCTACATGTTCCATTTAGTGACTTGGATTCTTCTTGAGTTGTTCCTATCTCAGTAATCTAAAGACAGCTTCCAGAGATGACCATTTAGCCTTGTGGGTTTTGTTGTCAATTTGATCCCATATAAACCTACTGGCATAGCTTGGGTTTGCCTGCCAATCTGATAGATTGCTGAAAGGTGAACCCAGGATAGCTTGGGTTCAAGGTTTAAAGAGGATCTAGAAGTGAGGGTTAGGGAATCCTCTAGTCCCATCTGCCCAGTCAGTCTAAGAATTTGAGTTCTGATTCAAGCACTTATCTAAACCTATCAGGGTCCGTCTCTTGTGGTCTGGATCGGAGTACTGTGATAAAGGGTAGCGAGGCACCATCTGGTCCTGGTCTTAGGGTAGCGGAGGCTGTGGCTTGTGTCGGCCGTTAGCCCTGTAGACGTGTTGATGCTCGGAGATGTTTGCATTTTCCTTTCTCTTTTGCTTCTGAAGATAAGACTATATTCAATGTCTGCTCACAAACTTTAACACCTCGGATGCTGCTCACTTAACTTGGGTGCAGACCATGAAACCTGTGCAGTCGTCAGACAGGAATAGGACAGTTGACCGTGTTGCCTTATGAGACCAAGGTTATGACTGATTTTACTATTTTTTTGAAAGCATACCAGTTAGTTGGTGTTGGTGTTTCAGTTCTTCATCTTAAAAATAATCCTAATTTTCAGAGCCAACTCAGGCTCTTATGTGGGTTTTTGAGCCAGCCTTAAAACTAGTCATTTACGCTCGTTCCCACTAGATATTGCTGTAAAGCAGTGCTGTTCTTTAAAAGATAACTCAAGTGGGTTATTACCATTCTTCTGTGACCTATTTTTCTCAGTCGTAGAGAAAAAAAAACCCCACGAAGATGGAAATGCATTCTCATTGATTACAGTCTTATTCTGATTTTCATCATTCTTAATGTACTTTCACCCTGAATTTTTCATTAGACAAACATAAATATGCTTTCCTAAAGTTTTTCTTCAATATTTCACATCTATACGTCAAATGGGGAATTTCATGGTAAAAGATTACAATCTTTGCTGATTGCCTGGCTAGTCCATTAAATACTCTGCTCCCTTGAGAATGGTTTTCTTCACTCTGACTTGAGTGTTTTGATCGATTCTGAAGCCATTTTCTGAGACCAGACATATTGATGCCAAGTTTTAACGGGCATTTTGGAAGACTGGTGCCTAGTGTTAACGGGCATTTTGGTTGCTTCACAAACTTTCTAGAAACCACTTCCATAAGTATACTTGAAGAGCTCTGCAGCGCGTACTGCCGCTCCTGTCCCGGCCGCAGGCTGCTAGTCCCCCAAATCCCTTTTGTGAACGTCTTCAGAGTTGGTCTCTTCTGGTTCTAATCAAGAACAAACTCGGAAGCTCGCTAATATTTTCATTAAGTTTCTTGAGTTTGGTGTTTGTGTGTGTGTGTGTGTGTGTGTGTATTGGAGGTTTTGTTTCTTGTAAAGAAAGTCTCTTGCTTACAACGTTGCTCACAGGCTTCAAGGCAAACCCACTTTTGCCCCTCCCCCCTTTCCTTTATGTGTATGGGTGCACACACATACTGGAGGGGAGCTTCAAAAAGTCCACATTTTCACTATCTTTTCCGTCGGTTTCCTGTGGGCTTCCAAAAGTTGAAGGCGTTTGAAGCCCCCTCATGGATGCGCATCTGTGTCCATGTCTGTTTCCATCTGTACCTTCATACCTATATCCATCCTGAGCCCGAGAAGATTCCAATGACAGTGGAGACCAGAAAGGCCAGGGGTTCTAAACTAGGAGACTGCCACTTTAATGACTCTAGTTTATGTTTATTTAACTGTTTATCTTTAGCATCTCACTGACCTCAGTTTTCACACCCATCAAGGGTGGTTGGGCTAGATCTTTAATGTGTATTTCATTCTCGTCACTGCTTGACCTCCTGCCACCCAGACCCCACCCTGGGATTGCAGTTCACATGGGAGCCTGTGCCCCTCTACCAGCCACAGCTTTTGACATTCAAAGTTAGTAAGTCTGGTTCCCTGTAGGAAGGAAAGGATTGGCAACTTTGGGTTAAAGAAAAGCCACTGGCAGATTAGTTTGGGCCAGGAATTTCTTTAAAAGTGAGTATTTGGATTCATGAGGGAGAACTCCCAGATCAAAGTAAGATATCTGCTAATTATTTTTATCTGACACTATGAATGTAACAAAAATTTCCAAATATTTAGCGGGTGCCAAGCAGGCACTGAGAATATAAAGATAAAGCAGTTATGTGGGAAATCTGCAAAAACAAGATGTCGCCTGGAGTCTGAGTTAAGCTAGTGCAAGAGGAATACAAAAACTCTGCTAACGTTGATGCTGTAAGGAAATAGCATTCAAAATAAAATCTCCCAGCTCAGAAACCTATCTAGAGAGGTAGAAGTTTGGAAAGACGGCAATCTAATTATTGAGTAAGCATTAAATCAGAATGTGATGCATCATGTGAAAGGTATTTCTGTTCTATAGAGCTAAGTGGCTGCAATCCAATTATATTTGCCTTCTCAGGATCAACTCCCTGGTATCTTTGTGGCTAGAGAATTTGGTTTGCAATTTGGAGTCCAGTGCCACCTGAATTAAGTTAAGCTCATCTCCTCTCAGGAAAATGGAAAGTTTACCTT